TTTAACAGTCATTTAGTTATTTATTTATCTTGTGGCTATCAGGAGTTAGAAAGAAGATAGGCATAGAAATGTAGAATTCAATCATAATGTGGGAAAAGGTAATGAAAACTCCAGGGTAGGATAGAAAGACTGTGTCCTCACAGGCCAGGAAAGATTCTCTAGAGGAGCTATCTAAGAAGCTGTGTGAGCATCATCAGATGGATGGGAGAAGAAAGCACCTCAGATGTCAGGGAACAGTGGTGTTCATATCAACAGAGATTAAGATAATTTAAAGCCAATGCATTGACTCAGAAATAAAAGAAGATACACAGTTGTCTTTGGGGCAACTGGCTCTGACCCCAGTTCTTCACTTATTGAATTCAGACTGGGTAAGGTGAGGTGTGGAATGGACATACTTAAGCTTGGGTCCAGAATTTTATTCTGTTTTCCTTGTATTCTCTATGATTTGGGTCTCTTTTCTTATCTATCCACCCCAGGAATCATATGTTTGTCATTGAGATATTGGTCCCTCCCTCCTAGAAGTTTATCCAAACAGAAGTACTGGCAGCATCTATTAACCTGAAGTTGGAGCAAGGTGAGGGTTATTTTATTATCCCTACCATCAGCCTTTCCCTAGACCACCCATTGGTGAGACCATGCCTGCCCTGGGGCCCAGGATGCTTTCTCCATGTGAAATCCTCTCCCAGCTTTTTGGAGACTGGCAATATGCTACAGCATAAATTTCAAGTGTCAACTCTCTACCTGTAAGCTCAAGTAAAAAGTATTATTTCTTACATCTATATAGTTAGTGCTCTCCAAATACAACTCCCTTCTGAGTCCTCCTTGTCTCCGATCTGGCTCTTCCTTCCCTTTCACAGCCAGATGTGCAGTGCACAGTAACTGTTTGCATTTCTACTTTTATCATTTTCTTCTTATTCAACTTGTTTTGGATCAGTTTGCTTCTCTCTGTCCTTATAACTGTCACATTGATTCAGGCCACCATTGTCTCTGCTTGGTGACAACCATTTCTCTGCTCCTTTCCATGCTTAACTGAGCTTGCTCTCTAATGGTCTCTTTACTACAGTTACAATGCTCACTCTAAAAACCAGATATAGCCACATAGTTCCTTCCCTCAAAATTTTTTAGTCTATCTGTTTCAAGACCTTGGATCCTTAAAATTTCTTGCTAGAATTCAAAGACCCTCAAAATCTTATCTCTACATCCTTCTCCAACCATGAATATTAATTTTCCTACCTTTCTACCTTATATACCATCTATATTGTCTGTCTTAATCCCTAAAGGTTTCATGCTGTCCTAGACCTGTGTATCTATTATATCCTCCAACTCATCCAATTCATCTTAATATCCAATATCTATCTAACATTTACTGTGACACTCAGATGTTGACCTCTTCTAAGAAGTCTTCTATGACTGCCCTCTGGCTCAGTTCATTTTGCTTTCTCTGTGCTCCCAGGGAACCTGTCTATTTTTCATTCATAGTTTATCAGAATCACCGAGTTCATTAGAATTGCTGTGTATGTATCAGTAAACTCCTTGAAGGTGGAATTTGTGTCTGACTTATAATATTCCAAAATGTAGCATAAGCATAGCATAAAAATCTCCAATGAGATACTGACAAATAGAATATAATGAATCATTGAAAAATTAGACATCATGCCCAAGTGGGATTCATATGAAAAACACTGTAGTAATAAGCCAATCAGTACTAAAGAGGTAGAAATATTAATGACAGTAAAACTCCCAATTTATCAGTATAGGAGTACTGGAAATATTAGTATGAACCAATTGTAACAGAAACTATACAAACACCTAGACATTAAGTAACATATTTATCATGGGATAAATAAGGAAAAAATTAAATAATTCTTAGAATCAAACAACCACAGTACAACATAACAAAACCTATAGGATACAATAAAAACAGTCTTAAGAGGGAAATGTATTGTTGAGTGCTCACATTAGGAAAACAGAGTGAACACAATTAATGGGGCCCCTCAAGAATGCTAGAAAACAAGAATAGTCTCCCCAGGTGTAGTGGCATGTGCCCGCCTTGCTAGCACAAAGAAGGCTGAAGAAGGAGGATTGTTGCAGGCTTGAAAGCACCCTGGGAGGGGCTACATATTAAGTTCAAGAACAGCTTGAATTAGCTAGGCAGATCCTACCTCAAAAAACAAAAGTCTAAACCCCAAACTAGCACAATGAAGGAGATCATAAAGATCAGTGTTAAAATCAAAGAAATTGAGACTAAAATAAGTAATTAAAAGGCTGATTTTTTAAAGAATATACAAAAATAGACACCCTATTATCCAGTTTACCAAAAGCAATGAACACCCACATGCACACAATTAGAAATGAAAAAGGTGAAGCCACACTAGATAATGCCAAAATTCAGAAAATCACCAGTAACTACTATTAAAAAACTATACACCAGCAAGAGTCTTGAAGAAATAAAAAAATAAAGCCAAACTCAGAGCCAAGATGACACAAAAATCCAGGCAATAAAATTGGAGCAGTACTAATAAAAAAAATTCACCAATTAAAATATCCCAGGACTTGATGTACTCACCACTGAATTCTACAAGACAATGTTCCTCATAGAACATATATAATGACAATGTTCCTCAAAATCTTTAAATAAATTTAAAGGGAAGAAATCCTTCCAAACTCATTCCTATAAAGTAGCATTATCCTGATTCTAAAACCAAATAGGAACCCAAGTATGAAAGAAAATTATAGAATAATTTTTAAAACAAACATAGAGGCAAAAATCCTCAACAAGAAATTGGCAAATAGAATGCAATAAATCACTGAAAAAATTATATCACGATCAAGTAGGAGTCATGCCAGAAATGAGGAAATGGTTCAATATATACAAACTGAAAATATAATACACTACATAAACAGAAGCAAGGACAAAAATCATATGACCATGTCTTATTTTTTTTAACCCAGGATTCAATTCAAGACCTTGCACTTACTAGGCGGGTGCGTATGCTGTGGAGCTATGTCCCTGGCCTGATTATATCAATAGGTACAGGAAAAGCTTTTGACAAAATCCTACCTCCATTCATGAGTCTTTTAAATGAAGAAAATAGGCATACAAAGACTTCATCTTAATCTGATAAAAGGCATTTGTGACAAACTTTTACTACCATCATCATTAAATGAGGAGAAGCTTTTCCTCTAAATCAGAAAAATATGAGCATCGATTTATCACTACTTCAATTCATTAATTCAGTATAGGATTTGAAAATGTAGCCAGAAAAATCAAGCAAGAAAAATAAATAAAAGGGTTATGTTCAAAAAAAGAAGTCTGAGTATCATTAATCGTAGATGATGTGATTCTACATATAAATGATCCAAAAATTCAACAAAAGACTCCTATAATAATCAAATTGAACAATATTACAGGATCCAAAATCAGCACACAAAAATCAAGATCATTCTTTTACACTAGTGATAGCAAACTTTTTAGAAATTGCTGTGTGTGGATGTCCCCCCAAAAGCCTCATGT